GAGACTTGCCGACTTGTTCACGATCTCGCGAGTGGCCCAGCCATTCGAACGAGTCAAGTGGGACGGGTAGAGACGCTCTTGAGATATCGGCGTAACGAGGGAAGGTCGAGCATACATCCCTGGCGGTACGAGAGCTTTCCATTCGCTTACTTGCCCGGCAACTTGTCTCCCACTTGACTCGCTCGTTGACTACGGATGAGCGGGTGCTCGCGAGTGGCAACTAGCTCGCGGCTGACTGGAATATGGTTACACACAGGAAGACAACGATGTCCGTCCACATACGTGTGGAGCTTCCAGGATATTCTCGCTACGCCGCGCCGGTCCATGTCGCTGCACCGAAACGGATGGCTTCCTACGTCGCGGTAAATCATAATAAGTACGCCGGTAGCGAGCAATCGGTAGTGAACAATCAGAGAGTCATATGTGAAATATCTAACATCTATATGCTTGGAGAAAATTAGTTTTGGTGACTATAATGTGACAATCATTTGAAATTTTAATATCCGCAACTAATTTTATAAAGACGAAAATGTTAATTATTTAGAACTATCAAAACGTAGTCACGGCAACAAATGTGAAATAACTTAATATTTGCAGCAGCAATATAAAAATTGTTAAAGAAGCTATGTTGATACAGTTGGATGTAAATTTTAGAATTTTATTAATTGTATAAAGTATTAAATAAAATATAAATATATATTATTATTATTATTAATAAAGTGAAATAGCAAGGCAACTATAATAATACATAAGCTTTTCTCTTTTTCTCTGTTTCTTTCATGTATAATAAATGTAAAAACGTTCTTCCATTTTAATATGTTCAAACATTTTCTAAAATAAATTATTGTGCTATAATGACACATTATAATGTACTTTTTCTATTAATAATAATTTTTCGTTAATGTTGTTATTTTACATTATTATTTTTTTATAGTTCATCCAACTGTATTTATTATAAACGGTGTAACGATATAAATAACATTACTATGTTTCTTTAATTCATTATTTTTCTTACTATAATTTTATAATACACATTTGAAATACTATTTTTTCTTTATTTTTTCTAATTGCTAGTGGTACTTTTTTCTCTGAGCGTAATAGCGACATTTAATCACATTTTTAATATCTTTAATTTATTGATATTTGATGATAAATACACAGAAAAAAAAAGATATATTCACAAGTTTAATTGAAAATAACCTTGTCAATTCAATACTAGTATTGATAAAACAGATACATCGTGCTCTTGTTTTAATAAAATGTTATTTGTTAATACAAACGTTTTTATTAATACTAATATTGAATTAACAAGATTATTTTCAATTAGACTAATGCTCTGTTTACATTATTTTTTCCATGTAAACTGAAATATCGCGGAGTTAGAATTCTGTAATAAAAGCTTCAAACGGAGACACTCTCTGATACTTTACTTATTGGTTGACGTACCGTGTACAAAGTTCGAAGTTTGGAGAATCTTGCAAAACAAGATGCCACCAGGCAGTTTCGTTCACGAGAGCGCGACAATTGCTGCCCTTCCGTCGTGTTACGTTAGTGTGCTCGTTAATGTTTCTCATTTGTATCACAGATAATGCGCGCACTCGAACTTGCCTCTCTGCTAATCTCGGATAGACCAACCACTCATAGTCTAGCAGTAGCGCCGAGCTATCAGTCGGCGTAGATGACGAGCGCGCTTATTTAGGGGCGACGGAGGTAGAAAGCCGCGTGGGCGTCAGGACGAACTGAGATACGGAGGGAAATAAGAAGAGATATCTCATAGCCGTGGGAGCGAGATCGTTATTTGTCTGTTATATTTCTGGGCCGGTTGCACCAACGTTGGTTACCGCTAACTGCGGTTGGCTAAATCTCACCTCTACCTATCCGCGTTATAGTGAGAATAATCCGAGGGAGCGGAGAGTGGGTGACAAGAATTAGTTAATAGTTAGAGCTTATCTCCAAAGTCTGTCCTGTTATACATATAGCTAGTTAATACGAATAATTATAACATAAACTTACTTTTCTCGTTTATGACATAGCTAGAGTTTAGGCAGAATTTAAATTTTCTTCCGCTTAACAACTTGCTTAAACAAGGCTGATAATATTAAATTAATCTGTTATCTTTGTGCAATATTATTAACATAATTCTGATGGATATAATATTCCTTCTTGATATTGTCGTTACATTCTAGTAAGGAATTTACTAAACGGTTAGGTGCAACTGATCCTTAAGTCTAATTGCATCGTTACCAGTAAAGTTAGCCAAATTTTCTTTGTCCGTGTCGTAGTTAGACCATCAAAGTCTAGAGAGGAACTAGAGACACCTAAAAGGAGAGTCAGAATTAATCATGCAAGGCTGTCTCGGTTGCCGTTAGGTTCAACGACATTGTCTTGATCGAGTTTACCGTAGTTGACACGTAAGGCGATTGATCTCCAGTCGTTGTAATTAGGCCTGGCACTAGAGAGCCGACCGAAGTTAGTTAAATCCGCGGTGCAACCGTTGGTGCAACCGTGCAACTGATCCCGTGTCCGTCCACGTGTCCGTCTGACGCTATCTTGCACTTGTGCTGTCTGTCACGTCGTCCACGTGCACCGCGAACACGCATTCCACGAACAGGAAATGGGTGTATTTTATTAACCAACGTTGTTATATCGGCATTAACGCCCACCCAGTTCCCGTGGTGGTGCAAGTCGTCCTCGTCGACGATGGCGGCGGCGGCGGCGTCCTCCTCCATGGCCGCGGCGCCCGGCCCAGCATCCGCCGGCGCCTCTTCCGGCACCCAGGGTGGCCAGGGCGTCGTACTATGTCCACGTACGCTGTCGCAGGTGCGACGGTCACGACTACGCCGGGCCCTCACCGAGGCGACCTCCGAGACCGTCAACTACGTCAAGATGGTGCGAGATGACGATTTTTCGCTATCAAAATCCTATTATGCGCGTATACCGGGTGTTCCAGATTTCAACACGGCCCCTCGCCACGATCTTGATCCTTGAATTTTTAACGCCTCGGCATAAAAGAGGCATTCCCCGAAATTTTACTGTTATTCCAAATTTGCGCATTAATTAATCAAAAATGTTTCTTCCTTTTCTTTGCTCATTTATTTACGCTCGTGACAAAACTTGTGTTTTATTATCATTCCATTTAACTGCCCCGTCATTTGTATTAATTTGAATACATACATAAAATGATATGCGGTTGTGAGGGAAGCACGCGACTTCTGGGATACCCTGTATGCAAATATGCCTTGCATAACGTACGCACATGCACGCACAACGTGATTATACTAGTGATGATACTAGCGGAAACGTTCGACGGGAATGTTTGACACCCCGTGTAGACGTTATTAAATAACGACGTCTGGTAGAAATGGTCGATGTTATGCTTCCGCGCGAGCTTCCCATTTATGGTCTTTCACACCAGACGCCGTAATTTCATTTACGTGCACGTAAAACGTGGTGAAAACTGTCACGGACACAGCACAATTTGCAACGTATGAAAAGATTTGATAAAAATGTAGGAATGCTGTGAGATTGTTCTCCAATCTATGCAGTCATAATGGTAAGTTGTTAGTGATCGAGCATGCATTAATTCGTTAAATCAATGCTTTTTTTTTAAATGCATTTTCACGGTTGAGTTATTTTCGATGTTTGACAAATTTTAGCAGGAGTTTAAGCGACAAATAATCGTACCACATAAAATATTTGATTGCTGGAGGAAGTTAAATACATTTAATTCCAAGTAGTACATGTAACGTAAACTATAGCATCTCAGAAATAAATGCGCGTTCTTATCAATAAAAGAGATTTGAGAATATGAGCCTACGAAGTTATTTAAAAAATAGCTGTTTCTTATTATAAAATCACCTTTATTTGAAAGTATACTATACTGAAAATATATTCAGTACGTACTATGTAGGTATTATGTTATCATATTTAAACAGTAGAAATGTAGCTATAAATATTACAATACGCGGAAGCTTACACGGGCGCATAAAAATGCAAAGGCCATGTAAAAAAAATGAAAGCATTTGCAATAAAATCTCACGAGTTTTCGCGAGCTCGCGTTCGCGTTAAGGAAAGTGCATCTGGCAAATATTGATCGTAACAATCTGCGCTTTACGTCGCTGTACTTCTCGCGTACGGGACGCATTTCCGTAGTAAACGGCGAAACGGACGAGACGGGAAATAAAATGAAATCCTCCCACGAGCGTACTACACGAGCGAACGCCTCCGTATATATGCGCGCGGTCGGTAGCGGAAATCTCGTCTTCGCGCTCGCGAGAACTTTTGGTAGCCAAGCACGGTTTTGGTAGCCAAGAACGCGAGTTGTCGGAAAAGATTGCTCGACCGAGCGTCACACAAAAACTTTCGCGAGTTCCATTCCGCGAGACGTATACACAATTTACAAAATCCCTTCTCTTCCACTGACGCCGCCGCCGGCAGACTTTTCTAATATCGCGAGAATTTTAAATCAGCAGCGAACTTGACGTGTATTTCTAAATATCCCGGAAGATTACCGCCGCACGTCGCAAAGTAACACCGTATTTTATATAAATGATAAAAATTGTTTTGAATAGAAAATTATTTTGAGCAAAAATTGCAGTTTATTGCAAGGCGAGGATTTCTTAATTGTTTTTTTTAACTTATTTTTTATCAAATTTTATTTTATAATATTGTTACGTTACATATTGTATGAAAATATTTAAATAAAGTAATAATTTTCGTTATCGCGTAAATTTTTATATTGGAGTAAAATTAAACAAATCTTGCACGCGCGGTGAAACGTAAAAAAAATGGCGCCGACGCTGAATTTGGAGTCGATCCAACGATGTTAAATTCCCGTACACCACGCTCGTCGATTGTTATGTGTAACTACGGAGATGTAATTCTTTGATTTTTATCTGCAGAATATAAAAACGCTTTCCAATAGCTGACCTAGCTGTAAATATTTCAACGCCAGCTTTTCGCGCGATCGTTTCCTAGTATTTCGGTTAAAATGCAGATTGGCAGATTTATTATGTTATATATTTTTAAATCTCTTGCGCATAAATTTTCTGACGGAATTCCCAGCGTACTCCGTTTCAGTTTTTTTTTTACCTAAATTAATAATTAACTTGATTCAATTTACGTATTTATTCTTTTATCATATGTTTTTCCGGATTTTTTAACACACTCGATCACTAACTTCTGGAAAAAGGATAGAATAAAAATTATGACTATTAATTTAAACTATTGGTAAAAATTATAATCTTACAGATCACTCGTGTTGCAGTAACTTTATTTTTAATTAACAAAACGCCCGAGAGGGTTATAAAAATTAAAAGTATAAAATATATTTACAATTGAAATGTATATATGTTGTCAAATTACAACTACATCGCATAAAGGTAATGTTCAGTATGTCCCCCAACAACCACGACGTACACAAGTATCTTGTACCGTAAGTAGAGTCAGCAAGCATGAGCGGACTTACGTAGTTTCGTGTTTCGCAAGCGTTTCGGCGAACTTTCGAGGGAATGCTTGCCGAATGAAAATGGCGTGTGTTTCCGTTCTGGACGTGGAACGCACGATTTCCGCCGGATGTTCCGCAAACATCTGCAGTGCCCCTTTCGATCTTTCCCGAACGATTCCTGTTCAAACGCCGCTCAATGCGCGTTCCACTGTGTACATGCAAGATATGTTCTCACCCACGTAGTTAATGTCAGCAACGTGTACAGGACGATCCAGAAGTACCCGCGAGGATCTCTCGATGTGTATCGAGATCGAAAAATATAGATATTGTATTACCTCTAGCGTTTTATTATATTAGACTTTTACGATGCTTTTACGATATGCTTCAAGAATCTCGAGATTCACGTACATCTGTGAAGATCGTAGATCATATAAATCTAAAAGTCCACATTTTCAATCCCGATAATCTTGAGAATCTCCTTGATGCATTCTTAAATTTTTCAAAGAACTTGCATTTCCATGCTTTTAATTTTTTTACATTAAAAAGCTCTATATTATTTCTGGTATTACATAAGAAATTAAATGTTTGAAAGAATTTAACGGTTTCACAATTTCCAAGTCTTTGGATTATTCAGCATTGCACCGCGTTTGCATTTTTAAACGATCAGATCTCGAGCCGTCAGTTTTTTTTTCCATGTGTCGGACTCCCGGGTTCTGATATCCGGAGATTTCGGGATTCTTGAAATCCTCGTGCGAACGTCTCGCCACCTCGGCCACCTGACGCTTGGGCCAAAGGCGGTATTTCCGGATCGCTCTGTACAGCATGCTCTCGCACGCCTCGTCGCCCGGTACCACCGGCAGAAGTTAGTTCTGTTTCCCTTTTGCCAACCCCGACCTGCATTCTCAAATGGCCGTGTACGTATATCAAAGGAGCGCGAAGCCCCGACCGGATGGAATTCCACCACGGCCGCTTCGCTCGCTTTTTCTGTTGCCCTTTTGCGGATCGGCATAAAGCGGCTTTGCGCGCGTGTCAGTCAATTGACAAACGAGAAGCACGCATTGATCTCAGCTCGATCGACGCGCGAACGAGATCGAAAGCGCGTCAAAACTACCCCACGCTTCCGGCAGCCGTCTTTTCCTTTCTAAATTTTTTATTCGTTAATTCTAACATTCTTCGGTCGACTGACGATGTTGAAGAGATCTTAAACTTGTACAGTTCAAGATCTCTTCTCGAATCCTTCAGTTTTCCGATTCCTTTTTCAATATTTAAACGAAGAACGTTTTTTCTCAGAATTGTTTCCAAGATATTTGCAATAGATTATCGGAAAAGAAAGTAGAGCCAAACTTAACTGAAACGTTCCGCTTAATTAGATCAACTTTTATTTCCCGAAATTGCAATTATATCGCGGTTTGACCAGGAATGATATAATTATAAATACCCTGCTAGTCAATTCTTAACAATTACTTTGATTTAAACTTCAGATTCATAATATCTATGATTCTTGAATTTTACGAGCGAAAAATCTTGAAGTACCACCCTCGCAATCCATCAAATGGCGGAAAAACAACGTGAAACAGCATTGCAGATATAAACGGCTGTTCTTGAAAAGCGTTAAGAAAATAGAAATCCGGGCCGTCGTCGTTTAATGGCCGCGTCGAGATTGCGAGAAAAAAAAACAGAGCCAACGGATCAGGAAAAAAAGCCGATCGATCTGCCTCGATGATCGACGAGTACGAACAAATATAGAACAAATCTGAAAAACGTCGATGTCCCACGTTTCAGAGTGCAGGTGAGCGTTGATACTTCAACTTAAGTACGGAGTACGTTATAGTTTCTACACGAGTATTGGATTACCCTCAGATTTCTCCAGGCCTCCTCCCCCCTTTTTGTCTGAAAAGAAGCACTCGTAGCTGCACGGAGTGCACAAGTTTGGTGCGAAATTTTATAGCGCGCAACTTCCCCGCATTATGTGCAAAACATCGAGAGAGGAATTACTAATTTGCAAGCGACGCCGCCGTTACACGTTACAGCGAAGAAGACGATTATAAAATAACGCCGGCAAATTGTTGACATTTATCTAACCTTTTTAAATGTTAGGACGGGCAGGAAGAAGTGTTAAAGTGAAAAATTTTAACGGGAGAAGTTCTTTTATTTATCCATTCTGTCGTTTCAATTATAACGAAAGCCAAACAGGTTCAATAAAGAGTAGCGAGATTATAGATTGCGCTTTTACAGTATAACGAATATTTCAGGCTTTAATTTTAGTAATTCACGTTTTCTCTCGCTAGATTTTTACACCCACACTAGAATCATAAACAGTTTAATTGATCTATTATAATATTAACCGTTAATTAAATATCTACTATGAAATATTATTCTGAGATACTACAAGTACATTAAATATCAATTATAAAAGACTCTTGAATTAATATTACATAATTACGAATCACCAATTTCTAACTGAACCTTGATGTACGCGCTTCTCAGACTATTATTAAATCAATATTAAATTCGCATTTATCAGATTTTAATTAAACCGTTCGTCCTCTAAAATCACACGGCGCAATATAACGTTCTGAATTTATCTCGCAATTTACTCTCGAATGACGTAAAAGTTTTCCGCCATATGTTTTGCGCTTCCTCCATTAAAGCACTCGTCGAACATTGCGTAAAATACCGAACGAGAGCGCGCGAAAAAGCGCAAATTAGTCGACCGTGAAAAAGCTGAATAGGATTCGAAAACGTAATGTTTAATCAATTCTTGCCGTTCTCCTTGCGTCGCCGTTTCCACAGCGACTTCCCAATTACGGCAATTTCTCTTTTCATAAATCCGGCAAAAAATGTTGGATTACCGCCGGTTACCGTCGCGTAACCGATTCGCCGCGGGCTTCGTAACGGTAAGGTTAGGCGCGCGTAACGTCGTAATATCCCACGAGAAAAGCGGTAAGCGATTTCGCAAACAATAATGCTTCGCAAGATTTCACATTCGCGTCTAATACGAGCGTCGCCGCACCGATTATTTCGAGCGACGGGCGATCGCCGGCGAACGACGGCGAATGTCGTGATTCCAATTGGAATCGTTCGATTGACGTTTTATTAAAATGTCGAAATCCCGATTTTAATGCAAGCGCAAGCGGACGGAAGTGGGACGCGAGCGGATATTGGTTTCGAGAAGTACGGGCCTTTACGTCTTTTGTTCCTCGCTTCTGCGATTTTTCATCCGTCACGCTTTCCCACGTTCTTTTCTCTTCCCACTTCTATTTCTCTCTTTCTCCCCGTTTTGTTCTCTCGCTCAGGTATTTTTTTACGGCGGCGAGTTGGGCGAGCCAGCTTATCCGTGAAGCAATGCATTATCGCGTCGCGTGGAGCGGACTAGCCGCTTCCGGCGCCGCGACGTCTGATTTTATACGCCGGACAGATTTCGGAATGAGCCTGTTAACGTTGAAAAATTGCGTGCGAAGAACGTTTGATAGGGGAAGCCGTGTTCCCGCATATATGCGAGGACGCACGATAACACGCAACGACTAAAGAGTCTAGGCTAATGGGAACGAGATAGAGATCGCGCGGAAGCGGAAGTAACGATGCCCGGCTAGCGGAGGAGAAATGTGTCGCGCGATACACACGCGAAATACATTAGCGCGAGGAAAAGTTTTCCGTCTCTCGAGCCACGTCTTTCCGTGAAAATTTCCGTTTTTATTCTCTCCCTTCGCGACCGTCGTTACGCGAAGACTTCGAGTTCGACTTCAACTTCTAGGGAGAGATAAAAGGAAGCTTGAGATAGTCAGTTGCATAATGACGAGATGGACCAAGAAAACTACTTCTAATTGTAAGCTCAATCGTCACTAACGTTAGACAACAATGTTGGACAATTGTTCCCGCGATTATACTTACATTCGAACGAGAGCGATGTTCATCAGCGACGATAATGGGGGTCATTAAGCTTACGTACCTACTTAAATGTCTCAAACTAATTTCTATTAGATCTATGAAATATGGAGCGGGTCCTCGTCTCAGTCCCGAGCGAACGGGTCGCGCTCGATTCTAGACCTCGGAATTATTCAAACGGTTCTCAAGCACTGATGATAATTGTCACTGGGACGAAGGGGTTGTGTCTTCTTAAGAGAACATTTATCTTTAACGAGAACAAGTTTAATAATGCTTTGCATCGAAATTAACCGCTTCGCGAATAAATTGCCAAAACGACTTTGGAAGGGACAGACACC